TTCCCCCGTGTCTGTCATGTGTGTGTGTTTCTCCGGACGGATGTTCTAAACTGCAAATTTCGTTCTACATTGCATCCTGATGTTGTCTGTGAATAACAATAAATGATTCTTGATCTACATAAAATCGTCAAGTCAAACAAATAATCACATTATRAAATATATTACTGTTCTAAATAAAAGACTATACCATGTGTAGTGTAATTAAAATCAGTATAAGCAAAGTGACAAAAAAAAYCAGTAAAAGCAAACCCCAATACATTTCTTCATAAAGTTTAAAAAATGGAGTTTGCATTATGTTCAGTTTAACTCTAGTGTGTGTTGTCTTACACAACAACTAAATAGTTTTTTTTTGTCTTCTTCCACAGGTTGTTTATTGTGGTAGCCATTTGGCTGGTCTCAGTAACCATGGCCTTACCAAAGGTCACCTACATCAACTTTGATGGTGGATGCACATGGTCGGTTGGTTGGGAAGAGTGGCTGTTCTTCCTCGTTCCAGCCTTCCTGATCTACTACGTGGCCCCTCTGCTGTGCATCACGGTCAACTGCGGCCTCATCATCTCCCACCTCCACCGCTGTCGAGGCACCCTGGTTGCTGACAGACGCAACAAGAAAGCTACAGCCCTTCTTATCGGCTCCACCCTGGCTTTTGCAGTTAGCTGGTTGCCGTATTATGCGCTTGAGTTTGCCAACGTTCTCTCGCCTCACGTTAGCTCCGCGGCTTCTCCCACAAGCAAATTTGGACTTAGGTTGTCTTCACCTCTGCCTCCAGCCGCGCTGCCCRGGACAGGTGAGCAAACACTGACGAGAGTGACACTGCTGTGGGAGGTGGCCTCCCTGGCAGCCATTCTGTTGGTGTGCCTGACCCCTTGCTGGAACCCTCCGCTGTACTTCCTGTTGTCGCGTCCGGCTGTTCGTCAGCTGAGGGCTCTCCTGCCCTCCTTCGTTCGAGAGCAGCTGATGAGAAAACCCGAGCAGCGCTGACGTATCACTTGGGGTCCTCCGCCTTGTTTGTCAGTGCCTCACGCTCCCCTAAACTCACTCACTCAACAAACCTTGACACACAGGCTGACCCAGTGAAGGTCCTAACAGCAGGGCTCAGTCTCATTTACCCGTGGCATACTGTTCACATGAGCCAGCTATCAGAGTTGTAAAGTAACTAAGTACAAATACTTCTTTACTGTACTTAAGTAGAATTTTTGGGTATCTGTACTTCACTTGATTAATTATTTTTCAGACTTTTTACTTCTGCTACATTTTCACACAGTTATCTATACTTTCTACTCCTTACATTTTTTAAAAAGGCAAGAAGTAGRAAGTCATTACTTTTATTTTTGCTTGTTTTTGTTCCAGCTTGTTATTGCAAAAAATAAATACTATCCATATAAATTGTGCCTCCTAGATAGAGTGAATTTAATTGTGGTCGAATGAGAAATATAAATATATAAAATTCTGATACTGTATTAGTTTGTACACAAACAAATCACGTCACACTCCAGTAGGACACAATCATTAAAATAGAGGACTGTACTTAAGAAGTATTTGTATTTCATGAATTATATTATTGCATTTTGCTGCAGCCCTCAGATAGATTTTCATTTTGGTGAAAAGGTTTGGGCAGCCTTGATATATGTATATAAATTGCATCCTAAATTGAACATAAATTAATTATTTTAATACAAGAGTCATTTCTGCATTTTTTGGGAAGGTCACCTTCTAATGAATGTCATTACAGAAAATCTAACTGCTCATTTTAATTCAATACTTATACTTTTAATACTTACGTACAAAAAATATCATATACTTTGACACTTTTACTCAAGTTATATTCCTAAAGGATACTTTAACTTTTACCAAAGTAATTTTTTGGTAAGATACTTGTACTTTTACTCAAGTATCACTTTGTGGTACTTTATACAGCACTGCCAGCTACAAAACAATTTAAATCCAAATACAGGATTCACAGCTTGTTTTGTCTGCAGTACAACATACCACATTTATATGGGTGGCTCATGGCAACAATGTACAAAGCTTTTATAGTGACGATAAATGGAATATATTTTAGGTCATAAAACGTAAAGTTTTATATCACTCTCCATGATGCCAGAGTCACTTGGCAACTTCTAGTCCAAGCAGTGACAGAAAAATAGAGCTGGAAATTTGAATAATTAGAAAATCAAACTGAAAAGCTAAACAAAACCCTTTGAATCATCACCTAAATCAAGGTCACTAAATCTAAATTAATCGTCTTAAAGGGACAGTTCAGATGTTGAACTGAAAAAGGTATAAAGAATTTATATTAATCCTGTTGTGGAGAGTTTTTTTTTTTAAAGACTTCAGTTTGGAAAAACCATAGACTTGAATAAGAACACTAGACTAAGCCCTGGCCATACCGTCCACTGGTGGCGTCTGTGTCAGCATGGAGGAGAAGAAACAGACCAATGAGGGCAACAGCTCACAGCCTCCATAGAAACCAATAGATAAACAGCAAGTCAAACCGGATCTGTTTCACAGATTATCGGTCATGTTTTCACAAGAAATTAATAACTATGTTAATTTCATTCAACAATCATGTAAAACAGCAGATTTATACCAGAAAAATATATAATTTACAAGTAACAATGATCTAAACCAGACCTGAAGTCAGCCTGCAATTTAGACTTTAGCTAGTTGAAAAGTGATGACTTCAGCTAGTAATGAAGTTAGGGCTGCAACGATTAATCGATTAATCGACGACTAATCGATTATTAAAGTAATCGATGACTAATTTAATAATCGATTAATCGTTTTCCTTTTTTTTACTTTGTTTTTCTCTCCAAACTGCTTTGACACCTTCCACTGCCACATCTGCCTTTCTGTCCTTGACACACATGCACASTAGWGGTAACTGGGGTAGACCGTGGACGTCACAAGACATTATACAGACAGGCTCTGGTATCATGGCTACCCAGCAACAGAGCTCAAAAGTGTAGGATTATTTTAAGAAAATGAAAGAGAAACCTGTGTAATATCTGCAGAGCAGAACTTGACTTCCACAGCAATTATCTTTAGTTAGCATTATAGCTAAAATCTAACGATGGTTATAGTAATAGCAGCTGCATTCTGGCACAATAAGCTCTATGTTTTATATTCAATTAACGTATTATCCAATTAGTCGACTAATCGAAAACATAATCGGTGATTAATCGATTATAAAAATAATCGTTTGTGGCAGCCCTAGGGTCAAACAATGTTTTAGTCAAACAGAACCAACAAGAATGAAACTAAAAGTAAAGCATTAGAGAAAAAAAATAAATGTTAAATGTAAATAAATTCTAATTATAATAAATTAATTATAGTTTTACATCTAAAAATCATATTATTTTAATCTATTTTCCTCATTCAGCAATCTATTAAATTTCTGTTATGTTTCATGTAGGAGAAATACACTTTTTTTTCAGTCAGTATTTAATACAGCTGGCAAAATAAATTGTTAAAATATGTATTATGTGCTTCTGCTTTTTAATTCAGGAGATTATAAAAAAATCCATTTTATGGGAAGCCCCTCTTGATTCAAGAGAAAACTCCAGATTTTTAAAAAATGGCTGCTTATTAATTAATTGTTAATCAATCTATAAGATAAATCAACTTCAGATTAGTTATTATCAATAACTTGCATCCTTAAGGAGTTAACTTAATTCATCTACTCATATTCATGTAATTAAGTGTTTTAATGATTTGGCCAATTAATCGATTAATCAAAAAAACAATCAACAGATTAATCGATTATTAAGACAATCATTAGTTGTAGCCCTAAATAAAGTATATTTATTATTTCTTCTTACTGTCAAATAACAATATTTTTATATTTACCAGTCAACAGTTAGAAAATGTCCTTTGGTTATAGGATGAAACTTCTCTCTATTAACTAACCATCTTCTCAACAAGTCAGGTTCCTGTAACATAAACCTAAAAATACTCACATTTACAATATTATTTTACACTCTGTAGGTCTAAATATTAATCAGAGGACAAAGTAACATTTAATAGTTTGTGTTAAATTGTAGCATGATTCAACAGTGCTACACTCTGTATATATGCTCCACAAGCTAATATTTGCTTACCAGTTCAATAAATAACAGTGATTACATGGACTTTATAAGATTATTTTAATTTTAAACTAATACATTATGTTCTGCTCAGATCACACTGAGCTAAATGAGATCAAATCTGCTGATTTGTGTTGTAAAATGAGACGTTTTCCTGTTTATCTTCTGTTAATAAATCCATAACACAAACAGATTTTCTGACATTATTTAAAACATTAGATAGATTATATAAACTGTAAAATATTAATAATAACTGGGATAATATTATTCTTAATAGTTTTTATAATTTCTACATCGTCAGTCCTTTTTCTGCTCTGTTGTCATTATGTACAGTAATGGGAAATCCAGACTTGACCGTTTTGCGTTAGCCATTAGCTTCACCAGCCGATYACACGGTCACGTGGTTTCTGCCCACTCCAGCTGTTCTATATAAACGCCTTGGGAAAAACAGTTTATTTCTAACTGGATTGATGAGCCAATAGTTAGTTCAAACAGAATCCAGACAAGGGTAGATTGTTGCAATCCATAATTTCTGTTGCTGTCTATGTCACATTAAACTAATATTCTTGCAGAAATTTAATATTTCTGAGTAATGTAATTCAGGCTGCACTGCAAGTGTTACAGCTAGCTGCAGCAGTCTGTGTGTCATCCATGTGCATGTGTTTTTTTATGTTCCTCCTTTTGATTCACAACGAATCAACCTTAGTAAACAAATACTTCACAGCTATTGAGCTAAAATTGGATCTTTTCATATCTGAGAGTCATATTCAGCACATACTGAGTGCTAACAGATCATGTGACACTCTCCTCTTTGGTCTTACAAGGCGTCGTGCAAATTACGATCCCTCAAGAATWTTTTTTTTTTGAAATGTGTAACTGAAATGAAATGAAATGAAACTGAAATGTGTTTAAGGATGGCAATAACCACTTTGGTCATGGCCCTACTAGTACTGACAGTTACTCTATCAATCCAGTCAGGTRTAAACTGTATTCCTCTAAACTTATGTTATTCAACAAAATATCTACGACGGATAAGATATTGTTTCATCAAAACACTTCTTTTCACAGAACCCTACTTCAAAAAAATCTGAACTGTCCCTTCACACTTGGCTCGGTACCTGATAATAGYATTTTTGGACATTAGTGAAACCTACACTGACTTGGATAACCAAGAAGAGCAAATATGATGCAAACTTCCCATGGAGCTGCAAACGCACATAAAACGCTGTTTGCTGTGTTTGAGAATCTTTTGTACTGCAGTATACTGAAGCACAGTGCCTCACAAAAAAAAACAAAAAAAACAGCATGACCCTGAAATCCCATTAACTGAGTTTTGTGACAGAGCTAAAATGGAGGGTGTGTGGCCTTTTTAAAAATCTACATGAAAAGCAGGGAAGCAATAGTGTCTAGATTCAATAACGTCTTAATAACATCACAAAAAAGAGACCCCCCGCTCTTGACTTATGACAAGTATTACCAGATGCTGACTTATTTAGTTCCGAGCTTGAGTGCAGAGAAGTGCCTATTAATTCAAGATATGACACAGAGAATTACATCAGCAGTGAGAAAATTACCTCTCAACAAGTAGAGCCCATCTGCACCCAGAGTGGTCTCATATCACAGTGTTAAAAACATGTCATGTACTTGCTGTGGTCATGGATTTTGTTTGACAAAATGATTGAGGCAGAGTGATTGGATTTGTATTAGGCTGTGACTGGGTGGGTGATGTATTTGTAGCACCAGAATAAAACAAACAAAATGTAGCAGGAATTCCAAATGTACAATAGGGTTTGTTTTGCGGACGATTTAAATATAATGAATGAAACAATCACAAAATGATTCATTGTGCAAATCGTTTAACAGCGTTAATTTGTTTCTTTGTCGAGAATATTAATGAGGCACTCTTATTTGACAGCTTGAGTGAAGCTGAAACAATTTATCTTAAGATGTATGAATGCAATTAAGTTTGAGCTAAATTATTGTTGAGAATAAACAAATCCCTTGATGAATTTTTCCAAAAGAACAAATACTCATAAGATAGAATAAAACATTCCAAATGAAAATATATGTTTATTGGTATGGTGATGTAGACATTTAGATTATTTTATTCAGCTTGTAAAAT